ACTCATTTAAAAAAAATAACCGTAAAAAGAATGTTTTTAAGAAAAAAAATTAAGTTTAAAATTTAAACTGTAAATAAGTATGAGATTTTAAAACAAGGAAATTATTTTTAATCAACATTTAAATTTAATTTATAACATTTTTTTATAATAATATTGTTTAATTTAAAGATATTTTATTTAAGACTTACAATATTTTCTAATGTGTTTTTGAATTGAATTACAATGGCATTCTGGTATTTTAAAATACGCAACTGACGCAATTCAACTTTTAACGATGTAAATATCTTTTTTTAATAAAGTTGAAATTAAGTTGCATGAAACTGAACTAGAAAAAATGCAAAAGTATGCATATGGATAAAAACAACCCTTAAAAAAATTACTATATATTTGATGCTGCAAATTATAGCAAGCTAATTCTTTTAAAATCTGGAAAGGATCTCAGCATCACCATTATATAGAAAGTCAAAATGGGGCACTCAAACATTTCTAAAGTTGCAAAAAGCTAATATAATTTTAGGATCGATAAAAAATTAAACATAAAAAGTCAACATAGGCATTTGAGCAAAAAAATAAGTGATAATTGTCAAATATGTCACAACTATTTCACAAATAGAATAGTTCCTAACAATACTGTTTTACAAACTTTGGCCTATGTTTCTAAAAACCATTGTAATAATTAGTAAAGAATAGGGGTCAAAATAAGTACTGCACATTGTCAATATTAATTAACCATTATTCATTTTGTTACGAAAACTGAACAATTGTTGGTTGTCTCCCTCAGACATGTCTCAAATACAATTCAAACGATGCTGATTTCTGGCAATTATTTTGACCCCTGAAGAATTTGTAAATGCAATTACCTGCTTACACTGTGAATAGATTTTTATTCATGCTCGTTGCAAGATTAATACTCTGTTGAGGGAGTATTAGTATATGCTCTGTTCCATATGCTAATACATAAATATATATTTATATTTTTAAAAGTCATTTCTTGTCATACGATATATATATATATATATATATATATATATATATATATATATATATATATATATATATATATATGCTATAGTAGATATATATATATATATATATATATATCTACTATAGCATATTTATATGCGCAATTGCTCACTTTTTTTGCTAGCCTAAATTTAGAAAACGATGAGGGAAAACGAAGAATAATGAATGACAGCAGGCTATTTGACATTAGGTGAGTATGACATCATCATGCTCACCTAACTCAGCAGTATAAGATATATATATATATATATATATATATATATATATATATATATATATATATATATATATATAAAATATGTAAGTTGATTTTAATAAAAAAGGCAGTGTATAACTATTTTTAAATATATTTTGATGTAAAAATATATTAACGATATTTCACTGACCTATTGTGGTCAGCGTCATCAGGTAATAATAAAACGTTACAAAATAACATAAAACAAACTGTTTAAAAAGAAGAAATTAAAAGGCGTCATATATAAAAACCTATTAAATAATATAATAATGGCGTCAGTTAAATTTTTGTCAAAATGGGTCCCTAAGTTCTTGTTTTAACCTTATCCCCGTCATCTTGATTTAGAGCACCTTCCTTTATACCTATCTTATATCATTGTTAATCTCCAGAGATTCTTTAATTTTTCATATCCTGTATTCTTGAACGACTGCCAAGGTCATTCAAGAATACAGGATATGAAAAATTAAAGGTTAGCATATAGCCCATCTTAGGTACCACAGCATATTCTAGAATATTGTGGCTCCTGAACTCAACCATTTTTGATTTTTGCAAGCTCTTTGGTGTTCTGCACTTCTTGAAATGATTTTCTTTTTTTGTCTTACCAATATATATATTTCCTCATGAGCATTTAAGTTGGTAAACTTCTGGATTTGAATTCGGATGTAGTTTTTTTTGTTGTTGCATAATATGTTATTTAAATTAGGAGCTGAAGTAAATATAACTCTGATGGTTTGTTTTTTAAATTCTCTTTGGAGTTTTAGGCCAATAATAGGTATCCAAGGTAGTTTAATAAACTTTTGATCTTATTGATTAGATGTAGTATTTTTTGACATGCTATTTAAATAGTTTTTGGTTATTTTAATCAGATTATTTTTGTTATTGCCGTTTTTAAAAAATGTATTTATGAGGAAATCAATTTCTTGTGAAAAATATTTTTGATAGCAGATTTGTATTGCTCGACATAAAACGGTTGTTTTATGTTATTTTGTAACCTTAAATTATTACCTGATGACACTGAACACAATAGGTCAGCAAAATATCGTTAATATATTTTTAAATCAAAATATATTTAAAAATAGTTATACGCTGCCTTTTTATTAAAATCAACTAACATATGTTATATATATATATATATATATATATATATATATATATATACACACTTTGAAGAGACGAAATTTTTTTTGGGTCACAAACTTTTCAAGATGAAGTCTGCACCACACGTACTTATTCTTTTCAGAGCTGACTGAGTCTTTGGAAGCTGGAGGTTGGCTATCATAGCTCTTTTAACATTTAGAGGGGACTCGGTTGTCAAAAAACATAAGCCCACGAGGTGTTCTGAGAAGAACCATAGATGTTGAGTAAACGCAGTGTAAGCCGCATCATTAATGATAGGGTTTGGATATTTCTTGAGAAGCCCAATCATCATTGCATCATTTAGGGGAGCATATGAAGCCAGTTTTGCCTTGTGCCAGAAATGTCCATAATTGAGAGAAACAAGTGCCAGCTCATTCAGACATTGCTTTTCTTTAGTAGTCAATTCCAACTGGCCTTCAAATAGCTCCATTTTTAGAGAATAGATGGCCTCATCATCTATTGAGCATAATGCATTGACTTCCGGTTCCGAGCTCTTGGAGCTAAGAACTGGAAGTCCATCTTAAAACTGCTTCCACCGAGGAAGACGAGACATAGTCGAAAGAGCTTGAGGTAATCCTCCCGAGGCTGCTGATGTCCTACGGTTTTGGTGTAGTAGACAACCATCTCCATCCAAAGAGTTTCGGTTTCCTCATTGAAGATTTTGTCTCTAGCTGGCGTATACTCTCTTTGCCTAATGCATGGCCATTTCTTCTGTAACCTCTTAAAAAGACCAACTTCTGGTCCACCCTTCCCACAAAAAACAGCTGTGAAGACACTGCTCAGAAAGACTTCCAGGACATGATGATGGCATTTAATGTTTACAAGTTCATGGCCAATGGCTTTCTCAATAAGAATGCAAGCCCCTCAATGAGTGCCTGTGTTGGAGGAAATTGTACCAAATACCAGACTTTGAACTTTATCTTGTAGATTCCAGTCATCTAGTACTTTTAAGCATGCAGTAGCCTTTTCTTCCCCAGTTCCTCCTATAATTTTTGGGACTGCCAACAGCTTCTCGATACCATTCTTAGTGACAAACACCGCAATTCAATTGACAGTTTCTTTTGCACCAGCTATATTGTGATGCAGTTTCCCATCCCAGTGGAGAAGAAGAGAAAGTTCGACTAAAAAAGATCTCTTTTTTGCTTCAGCTACTTTTTTTTGGGTAGCCATCTGTGACCTTCTGATGGTGCTCCTAGACAGTGTCAGGTTGTCAAGAGTATGGCCTAAAGCCTTTGCTACTGATGCAAAAATATACATAGCTACACAATCAGGAAGATTTACTCTATCTAAAGCCTCTGCGAAATCTGGAGTTGCTATCACGCTTTTCAGTCATTAAGGCTTTGAGGAAGGAGTTTGAGCAGTTGATAATGATGAAACTCTGAAGTCTTTATTGTTGTCATTGTCCTCATCTTCAGACTTAGACCAAGAACTAATATCCAAAGCAGGACCAGATGTTTCTATTTGCTGCATATATATATATATATATATATATATATATATATATATATATATATATATATATATATATATATATATATATATATATATATACTTATGGGAACATATTTTACAAAAAACGAACACCTAGGGGGACATTAGCATTATCAGGGACATTTTAGTGTACCCGTTAATTTTTTGTCCCTGTAACCATTATTTTTTTGTAAAAAAATGTACCAATAAGAAATTTTTATAGAGAATGAAAAGTACTTACATCGAATTAAATAGCCTGACTGGCAAGGGAATGCTGCTACATCAACTGAGGGTTTGGTTATGCCAGGCATCAAAGTCAGGCTTAGGGTTAGGGTTATGGCAAGGTTAATATTTGGTTATATTATTGTAATTAATCATTTTTGTAAATAGAAGAAGTTAAAAATGAAATATAATATAAAATAAATAAATAAAAATAACAAAAATTAATATAAAAAATATATTTTAATAATAAAATAATAAATTTAAATATGTATAAATAAAAATAGAATATATATATATATATATATATATATATATATATATATATATATATATATATATATATATATATATATATATATATATATATATATATATATATATATATATATATAGGCCTTGTTATAAGATTTTATTGCATATCAAAAATACGTAATGCTAATAAATGTAGCTTTACCACAGAAAAGATAAATCACTAAAAGTTGAATTATGTCATGAGTGTATTTTAAACTACCGCATGGTAATTTATTTTTACCACGGTTTAAATTAAATTTAATTACGATGCGGTTTTATACTACCGCAATGTAATTAAATTTAGTTTTAACCGCTGTAAAAAATTTTATATTAATATAACAAAAATTACTGAATTCTGTATTTGAAAAAGATTTTATTTTATTACAATATTTTATTTCTTAAAACAATTTATTCTTGACACAATCTTTTTTTTCTTAATCACAACATATTTTACTTTGTTTTACCTATTTAAACCTAATAAATTAATGCATTATTTTTAGTTGTTTAAAAAAAGTTTATAAAGAGATTAAGTGTCACTTAAGATGTTTATAAACAAAATTTATGATAATAAAATTCGTCAAAAGAACTATTGAACTACATATTGTTTCTTTATACAACATAGATTGGCTTGTGAAGAACTTTGCAACTCCGTTGGTTAATGGAAAGATTCTTACTGTTCTATCATCAATTGAAAAAGAATACTTAGTATCATTTGAATTCTATCCAAACTCGTTTCCTCCCAATGGTTTTTATTCTATTATTCGTTTCACTAATATTTCTGAATCTGATGACATTGAATATAATGTTTCTAGTGTTTATTTACATTCAAGTGGGAGCTTGCTGATTGCGAGTTCCATGAATGGAGATGGTTTTAGATACTTTAACACAGATGCTATTATTTTAAAAAATTGGATAATTATAGAAATAAGTCAAGTATTGAAATGTGGACAATATGTTTATACAATTAAATTAAATGGTGTTGTTGTATATGTAGAACTTAACTATCAATCTCAAAGGTTTAACAAAATTAGAGTTTATGCTGCAGATATTACATTACCAACAGATGGCTATATAAAAAACTTATATGTTTTTAATGGAAATACAAGTAAGCATTTTTGTAAATTCATTCAAACAGTATATATAATGTATAAAGTTGTACACATTAACTTGCATTTTCAGAAAAAGATGTCTCTTCGTCTTGATAATGTAAATGTATATATATCAAGCCTTCTCAGGAAGCGCAAGCGGTTGTACGCCTTGTACATCTACACTTAAAGTAATTTTTTAGACTACTTGACCACGTTTTTATATAGTAAGCGTTTTAATAATTTGCGGCAAAACAAAGCTTTAACCCTTTCAGGCCCAAGGTATGACATGCATTTTTCCTGCATTTTAAAAATCTTCTTAAGATTTTATATACTATAGGCACTAATAGCATAAAATCATAAATTTTTCCGTTTAAGTTGCCATGGAAACTATAACAGGGCAGATATGTCCCGACAGGTTAATATATATATACATATATATATATATATATATGTATATATATATATATACATACATATACATATACATATACATATATATACATATATATATATATATATATATATATATATATATATATATATATATATATATATATATATATATATATATATATATATTACATTTACACTTGAGCTGCATTTAGGTAGACTGTATGGGTAGATGGATAGTAGAACTGGGTAGCTAAATAAGATTAGGTGAGTGGTGGTATTGGGTGTAAGGTGATATTAAATGGGTACCTTTTTGGTGAAAACCATTTTAGCGGCATATAGAATTCCTTACCCCGGTAAAATAATTATAAAAGAAATATTTCTATATAAATCAAATAACTTTGTATATTACATATGATACTCTCTAAAATAATTTCTTTTAACATTAATGCATAAATAAACTTTGCATGTGCTGCACTTGATGAAAGGTCATGCTTCAGTTTTATTTTTAGAGCATACTTCACATACTTCCAGCTCTGGCCAATGGATGCCAAGATTTTCCTTCCGAATCAATACTAGAATAGAAAATTTTGATTTTCTTCTTTTGTTAGTAGACAACTGACATGATCGATTTGATGAAATTGGTCGCCCTATGGTTTGAACCGTCTTTTACAGTATTATTTTTTTAAAAAAAGATATTTACTATTAAATTTTTAAATTAAAGGTTCAATAACATTTTTTAATATTTATCCGTTTTCACTAAAATAATGCCACGATACCACCTTAACCAGGCCGGCATATTGGTGGTTTACCTATAGTGACTAATGATTGTGCCACTAATCTTCGAAAATTGAGAAAACTAATATTATTATCTTTCAATTTCTTGTAGACAACATAAGCATTGCAAACAGTCTTATCAATTAAGCCAAAAAGAATGCGGTGCCACCACTTTAGAGATTTCCTGGATGTGCCATAAAGAGAACAAAGCATATCAGCTTTGTCAACACCCCCCATATAAGTGTTATAGTCTTTTACCGCCTGAGGACATGAGATCATCACAATACTGCCATCTTTATTATTTCGTTTGATCTCTGTTTTTTCAGTGCCATGAAAGTTTGATATGACATGCACTGGTCTATTATCCATCCATTTATAAACTACAATGTTATCTTTAGAAACTCTGTAATCAAAGTCCCCCTCTTCAAATTTTTATCTTTACATAAATTTTTAGTCAGATACATTTAAACTGTTGTTTAAATGTATATTTGAAAGTATTTGAATAAATCTATTTCGTGGAATGATATCTGAAACAAATGGCACTGTCAAATCGGTTTCATTACTCCAGTAGTTTCTCCAGGAAGGAAGCTTATGATACCCCATTACCATATTGATTCCAATGAAAGCATATAAATCGTTTTTTGTTACCACTGGAACTTGCGGTATGGAAAATGCGGTAGTGGTGTAGTGGTAGAGTATGGTATGGTAGAGTATGGTATGGTAGAGTTGCGGTATGGAAAATGCGGTAGTGGTGTAGTGGTAGAGCGCTCGCTTCATAAACGAGTGGTTCCGAGTTCGATCCCCACCACGTCCCTGGTAGTACCGCGCTCAACTCGTTTCTCCGGGCAGCGGCCTTGTTCGTCAAGGTTCGTGTTTTGGAGTTATAGAGTTGAGAGAGGGTTATAGCCACAAATAAGTAGCCTCCTCGTCTGTAGTGGCCTTCTCAGCCTTGAGGAGGCGAATTAAAAATTAAAAAAAAAAAAAAAAAACTTTTTTCTGTAACTGATGTATATACAAGTTACTCTGATAAGTAATAGATTCCATAATTTTATCGTCAAAGTATTTCAAAAAATAATCTACTGGGTTTTCGCATTCATCAAAATGAACATTTACAGGACCTGTACATGAACAAATGATTCAAAATTTTTTTTACTTATCATTACTAATCATTAATTGATACAATGATTAATCAATAATTTATGTAAAATTTAGAATACATTCAACAATTTCTAACTATTGATATTTGATGCCAAACAGGAATCTATCAAGTACCTACCTTGAGGTTCATGAAAATCAAGTGAGGACATCCTTTTTTCTTTTTTTTTCCACTTTCTGTCTTGATCCACAACAAAATTGTCTTTGTTAGATGCAAGATCATATGAACTACCAGAATTATCTGGTTATGCTATATTATTATTTTCATTATTTGAATTGGAATCAAACTTAACTCTCTGTCATCTTGCTCAGCTTGAATTCGGTCTACTAATATAAAATCTTCATCCTCAGAATCTGATAATTCCAGATCACTGTAATTTTCTATTGAAATATCTTCTAAAATAATATTCGCAACTTCAGCAGCAGAGTAATACCTTTTTGACTTGATTTTTTCACTAAACTTTTTTACTAAAAGACTTAGTAAAAAAGCAAAAATTTAAAGCAAAAAATAAACATTTCATACAAGACTTCAAAAAGCCTGACGGGACATATTTGTCCCACAACTAGTTACCAAAAAAAATAAAATAAAAAATCATAATGCAGATGTAAAGTGTAGATTATTTTTATTCTACTAAGATTTTTTATAATATATTATAATAATTATAATATATATTATAATAATTTATAAAAAAAGTTTCAAAGGTATAGCATGATCCTTTAAAGAACTACATATTATAATGTAGCTTACTAAATCTAAGCAACATATTTTGATTGTCACTGTTTTATGATATGAAAAAAATAACTTAAAAAACCTGCGAATAAGACAAAAAGTTGTTTTGAAGTATTCCCAAATACTTCAAAACAACTTTTTGTTACTTATATACAAAATAGAAAATCAAAATAAAACAAGCTAAAAAAAAATTTAAAACTTATTCCATCATTAACAAAATTTATTAATCAAAATAATATATTTTACAAATAAATAAGAATTTATTTTCTTTTTTTCCTAATATATAAGTATTGAGAAAAAATGTCAACTATAATAAAAACTTTTTTAAAAGCAAAAAGAGATAAAAATAAATAAACATAAGAAAAAAATTAACAAAATTTCTTTTAGTTCTAGCGTACATAGCAAATTAGTTTCTTAATCATATGGACTTATAAAAATTGTGAATAAACTGCATATCAAAACTTTCAATTGTTGTTAAATAGTTATCAAACATGTTTTTGACTCTAAAAAAAAAGAATATAAAAGTTGTATAAAAATTTTATAAAAATGATATTTTTTTATTTACTTTTTTTAATTATTAAATTCTCTAGTTTATTTAATTAAACTTGATAATTCATTACATTTTTTTTTTTTTTTTAAGCTTTGCTTTATTTTTTCTTAAAAGATAAGTTTAGCTTTTTGTAGCGAATTATTGTAACGCTTTATAAGTTAAAAACTGCAAACTGCCCTGGTCAGTTTATCTAAAAAAATACTTTGAATGTGGATGAACAAGGCATGCGACCGCACACGCTTCCTGGGAAGGCTATATATATATATATATATATATATATATATATATATATATATATATATATATATATATATATATATATATATATAATTTTTTAATATATATATATATATATATATATGATTTTTTAATATAAATATATATTATAAAATTTAAATACGACAATATTCAGTAGTTTATTTTTCAAAAACTAATTCAAATAAAACATTAACTTTAGTATTGTTAATAATATACAATTAAAGAGGCTTGTTAATAAAAAGACAAACCTGCACTACATCTAAATTACAATGAGTTTATTTTAAATTACAAGATCTAAAATGGAATTTTTTATTTTATATATACAGTTAATTCTTCCTGGTAAGTTGAACACCGATTAACTTGAACTTTTGTTATCTCAAACTGTTTCATTTGGTCCTTTGAAACCCTTTAATTAATTACTGTAAAAGTTCTCCAGTTAAGTCAAATCTTGGATAACTCAATATTTGTTAAGTCAAACCATTTTTTCTCCCCAATTCTAGAAAAAAAATTTTGGATAACTTGAAGTTTTTCTATGAGAAATAAAGAAATCAAAATAATTTACTCAAATTTTTTGTTAAAGAGTTCCATATAAAACATAAATAACATTAACTTATTGTAATATATATTTTTTTTGTTGTTGTATTTAGATTTTAATATAATAAATAGAATAAAGAACATTAGCCTTAAGTTAAGGGGTTGTGCCCCCCTGGCCTCAATAAAATGTCAGCCATGCTTAAGTTGAACTAATATAACTGGACTCAATAGGAATACTCTTTAGTTAAACATTAATTAAGTTGAATAGTTTTTCTATTAAAGTCTAAATAAACAAAACTTCAAAAATGTTTTTTAGAAACAGTTATTTTTTTTAAGTATTTTTATAAACTTTTATACTCAACATGATATTATTATCTAGAGAGCTCCAAAGCAAGATGGATTTGTATTTGGAGCCTTTTAAAAGTTGCAGTTACATATTCATGAGTTACCTATTCATATATTTTTGAAAGTAAAATAATGTATATAATTCTTTTAAAATGTGTTTAGAAATATATTAAGACTATCATATGGGAGATGGAGCATGATTAGGGTATAAGAGTTTTCTCATTGAAAATCATTGGTAAGTACAAAACTGTTTATGCATTAATTCAGTTAATAAACTATTGGTAAATAGTTTATTAACTGAATTTATGCATAAAGAAAGGTGAATTATTTAATAACTGGGAATGTCAATGATATACCTTGTAGTTATTCCAAATCATTTGTTCTATGGTTCCATATCATTTGTTCCATATTAATATTTAATCACTGGTTATTTTGCTGGAAGCAATATTTGACTCATGTCCTGAATAGCACAATCACTTGCCTTGAATCTAAATAAAAATTTAAAGATTTGGACAAACTGACAAAAAAAAAAAAAATGACTAGTCGAAAAATATTCAAAAGGTAGTGGCAAAGTTGTAGTATTAATGGACAAATGTTTTGAAATTCTTTCAATGTCAGAGAAGTTGCAGAGCTTAATTATCTTTAACAAAACCTTTTTTTCTTATATTTATATTTTATTTTTGAAATTATTTTTCAGGGAGATTGATTCATGGTTGAAAAATATAACTTTATTATATGAACATTTTTTTTTCTTTTCTCAAGTTTCAGCAGAATTATTGATTAATTGATTTTACCTTGTCCACAATAATGGATAAGACACAGTTTAGATAAAAATGTTTTTGACTAAATGAGAACAATCTTGAATGTGTAACAGTCTAAAAAAGCATTCTTGATGGTATGGAAAAGTGTTTTTAGAAGTTCTCTCAATTGGATGACCAAAAAGCTATTTTCCTGAACATTTTCCTAATACATTGTGTGTAGTATATTCTTAAGCATTCAATCTGTCACTCATTCTGATCTAACTGATGTATAAACCTCTTATTCCATATCCTTATATACACTAAAACAGCCTTCTAAATCTTTCCAGATTTGGAACCTGTTTAAAACTTTTAAAAAACAATCTCCTAGGTTGAACAGTTTTTAGAGTTTTTCAAAAACTTAACATTTTTTTCAGAGTATTCTACTATCTCTTAACTAGAAGATTTCACTTGTTTTTAAAACATACTAGAATGATTTAAATGGTTATATTCCAAAATGCTCTATATTCTTCTAGAATATTTTATAATTATCTAGAATGTTCTAGAAGGTTTCATATTATTTTGAAACTATAATCTTTTTGATAAGCTGCAGTGTAATGGCATTAAATGAGGGTATTTTGGAGCTATAATATAAAATTATAGCTGATTATATTATAAAAATATCAAAACTTTTTCTTAACTTTCAATATTTAAATTTTACAATAGGGCTTAAAACCAGATATTATTCTTTCAATATTTTTGAATTTAAATGAGGGATTTTTATATGAAGTCAAATTAAAATGTTAACATTACCTTTGTACTATCTTTTTATTATTTTTTTTTAGATCCATGTTATTATAAGAATTGCTACACTTCAAGTTATTGCAGTGTGGTGTCAGGTATTGCTGTGTGCTCATGTCCAAATGGATTCAAACTGCAGTCTGATACCACAACATGTGTACATGGTATTTTCTAGTTATGTTTTGTATAAAAACAATATAAAATGATAACATAATTACCTTGGTAATTTATCTTTATAATATTATATTTTTTATAGATCCATGTTATTATAAAAATTGCTACAATTCAGATTATTGCAGCGTGGTTTCAGGTATTGCTCTGTGCTCATGTCCAAATGGATACAAACTGCAGTCTGATAACACAACATGTGTACAAGGTATTTTCTAGTTACTTATGTTTTGTGTTAGTCAGTATAAAGTGATGACACAAATAACTTTATATATATATATATATATATATATATATATATATATATATATATATTTTTTATTAATGTTTTATTTTAGATCCATGTTATTTTAAGAAATGCTACACTTTAAATTATTGCAGTGTAGTATTAGGTATTGCTATGTGCTCATGTCCAATTGGATTTAAGCTGCAGTCTGATAACATAACATGCTTACAGGGTATTTTGTAGTTTCTTATATTTTATTTGAAGCCAATTTAAAATGATAGCATAAAAACTAAATACAATCATTTTTAAATGTTTTTCTATAGATCCATGTTATTTAAAGAATTGCTACACTTCAAATTATTGCAGTGTGTTATCAGGTATTGCTGTGTGCTCATGTCCAATTGGATTCATACTGCAGTCTGATAACACAACATGTATACAAGGTATTTTCCAGTTATTTATGTTTTTTATAAAGTCAGTATAAAATGAAAACATTAATAACTGCATATAAACTCATTTTAATGGTATTTTCTTATAGATCTATGTTATTATAAGAATTGCTACAACTCAACTTATTGCAGTGTGGTGTCAGGTGTTGCTATATGTTCATGTGCAATTGGATTCAAACTGCAGTCTGATAACACAACATGTGTGCAAGGTATATACTAGTTATGTTTTGTATAGAGTCTAATATAATGGTAACATAATTCACTTTTTATTATGATGTTATTATACAGACCCATGTTATTATAAGATTTGCTACACTTCAAATTATTGCAGTGTTATGTCAGGTTATGCTGGTTTTTCTTGTCCAATTGGATTTAAACTGCAGACTGATGGCATCACTAAAAAATAACATTATAAAAAAAGCATATAAAGTTATGTTAAAATTTGTATTAAGTCAGTATAAAATGATAACATTTTATAGCTCTTTATAATCCTTTTTAATGATTTTTTTTATAGATCCATGTTATTATAAGAATTGCTACAATTTAACTTATTGCAGTGTGGTGTCGAGTGTTGCTATGTGTTCATGCCCAATTGGATTGAAACTGCAGTCTGATAACACAACATGTGTACAGGGTATTTTGTAGTTTTTTACTTTTTATATGAAAGAAAATTAAAATTGTTACAAATACTTTGATATAATCTTTTTATATTGATGTTTTTATATAGACCCATGTTATTACATGCACATGTACATGTGGAAGGTGTTATCTAGTTATGTTTTGCTTAAATTCAATTTAAAATGATAGCATAAATTGCTTTATTCAATATTTTTTTAATGATGGTTTTTTATAGATCCATGTTATTATAAGAATTGCTACAATTCAAATTATTGCAGTGTGGTGTCAGGTGTTGCTATGTGTTCTTGCCCAATTGGGTTCAAACTGCAGCCTGATAGCACAATCTGTGTGCAAGGTATTTTCTAGTTAAATTTTGTATTAAGTCAAATATGATAGCATAATTACTTTTTTATGATGATGCTATTATACAGACCAAGCCTTCCCAGGAAAGGTTTTTTGTTTCGAACGACAACGAAAACGTTTTTCAAGTTAGAGAATGTGATCACGGCTGTTTGCGCAAGTTTTATTGTATGCGTTGCTGAAAAATTGTTTTAAATTTAATAACTACATAAGAAATAAAAGTAAACTTATATAGGAAACAATAATAGTAGTTTCATTAATTTGTGTGTTGTTTTTATTGTTGTTTTTTCTTAGTGGTTATTTGTTATTGTTATCAGCAACAAAATTCAGTAAGTCAAAGCAAAAAAAAAAAATTTATTTTGTATAATATATTTGTATATCATCTGTTTGTAAAATATATTTGTATAATTATAATGTAACAAGTTTATATCAAGAGTTAAATTATAAGATCGCTATTTTCAAACTCTGGTAAAATATTAGGTCTTTAAAATTTTAGTTATGCATAGCTGTGTACTTTGTTTATAAGGAGCAAATTATTAAAAGTTTGCTAGCGAGAAAGTTACAAAAAACAAAGCAAAAACAATAAACTTATGACTACAAAAGTAATAACACTTTAGTCACTAACTTATAAAAGTAATAAAACTATAATAATGTTATTACATTTATAAAGCACTTATTACTTATAAATTTCATTCTTTGTTCAAACAACATTATTAATTCCAAACATTTTTATTAAAGTAGAAAAGTATCTAGAATAAATAAAGCGGATATTCAAATATTATTAAAATTTTTAGGAACTTTCACAGATCACTTAAACAACGTTATAAAAAAGTACTTTATAAAAAGTATAACATTATGAAAAATGTTACATGAAAACCCGCGTTAATTTTAAAGTCAATTAATAAAAAATTTGTATTGGTTAATTTTAAAATTAATGCGCGTTTTTACAGTCCATTAGTAACGTTTTTCATAATGCTAAACTTTTAATGATACGTTTTTATAAAGTTGTTTGTCACGTTTTTATAAGTTATTTAAGTTTTAATATTATTTGAACATCCACTTTATTCTTCTAGATATTTTTCTACTTCAATTAAAATTTGGGAATACTAATGTTGCTTGAACAAAGAATGAATTTTAAAAGTTTTAAGTGCGTTATAAAAGTAATAACACTATTATACTGTTATTACTTTTGTAATGCAGTTAGTGACTAGAGTGTTATTACTTTTGTAATCGTAAGTTTGTTGTTTTATTTTTTATTTTTTGGCTAACAAATTTAAATTGATTCTCCCTTAAAAACAAGTTTACAAACACATTGCAATTTGTATTTTTGCTATCCTCTTAAAAAAAAAATTAAGAAAAGGAAAATCATTCTTTTTATTGTAGACTTCAAACTTTTTTTTTTTTTTTTTTTTTTTTTTTTTTTGCTTTGCCTTATCTAATTTTGTTGCTGAATGTAACAACCACTCTAAAGAAACAAAAATAAAAACAGTACACAAGTTATTTAAATTATTAATTTGTTTTTATTTTTTTCTATTTCAATCTTTTTTTATTTTGTTAGTTTTTTTTTTGTTTTTTGTTTTTGAAACTTATTCAGCATTATTATAAAACTTGCAAACGGCCGTGTTCAAGTTGTCTAAAATAATATACTCGTGTGTGGTCATACAAGACAAAAAACCGCATGCCTTTCCTGGGAAGGCTTGCAGACCCATGGTATAAAAAGAATTGCTACACTTCAAATTATTGCTGTATTGTGTCATTTAACATGTATACAAGGTTTTTTCTAGTTTTTTATATTTTTTTTGAAGTCAGTTTGAAATAGTAACATATATAAATTTGTTCAGATATTTCATAATGGTATTTTTATATAGATCCATGTTATTATAAGAATTGCTACTCATCAAATTATTGCCGTGTTATGTCAGGTTATGCTGTGTGCTCATGTCCAATTGGATTAAAACTGCAGTCTGATGGCATCACTTGTGTTCAGGGTATTTTGTAGTTTTTTGGGTGTTTTTTTATGTCAATTAAAAATAAAAATATAAATTACCTTGTTCAATATTTTCACTATTTCTTATTTATTCACTATTTTCAAGTTATGTTTTGTTCAAAGTTAAATATAATGGTAGCCTAATTCACTTTGTATAATCTTTTTATAATGATGTTTTTATATAGACCCATGTTATTATAAGAATCGCTACACTTCAAATTATTTCAGTGTTATGTCAGGTTATGCTGTGTGTTCTTGTCCAATTGGGTTTAAACTGCAGACTGATGGCATCACTAAAAAATAACATTATAAAAAAAACATAAAGTTATATTAAAACTTGTATAAAGTCAGTATAAAATGATAACATTTTATAGCTCTATATAATCCTTTTTAATGATTTTTTTATAGATCCATGTTATTATAAGAATTGCTACAATTTAACTTATTGCAGTGTGGTGTCGAGTGTTGCTATGTGCTCATGTCCAATTGGATTCAAACTGCAATCTGATGGCACAACATGTGTACAGGGTATTTTGTAGTTTTTTTCTTTTTAAATGAAGGAAGTTTAAAATGGTAACATAAAACTTTGATATAATCTTTTTATAATGATGTTTTTACATAGACCCATGTCATTATAAGAACTGCAACACTTCAAACTTTTGTATTGTGGTGTCGGGTATTGCTGTCTGCTCATGTCCAAACGGATTAAAACTGCAACCTGATGGCATCTCATGTGTAGAGGGTATTTTGTAGTTATAAATGTTTTATTTAAAGTCAAAATCAAATGTTATAATTTTTTATATAACTTCTTTATAACAATATTTAATTTATAGATCCTTGTTATTTTAAGAATTGCTACACTTTAAGTTATTGCAATGTAGTATCAGGCTACGCAGTGTGCTCGTGTCCAAATGGATTCAAACTGCAATCAGATGGCATAACATGTGTACTCGGTAGTTTGTTGTTACTTATTTTCTATATTAAGCTAACATAAAGTTTTAACATTACTTTATATATATTTTTTATAATTTTATTTTTTAGATCCATGTTATTATAAGAATTGCTACAATTTATATTATTGCAGTGTTGTGTCAGGTTATGCTGTGTGTTCTTGTCCAATTGGATTCAAATTGCAGCCTGATAACATAACATGTGTACAAGGTATTTTCTAGTTACTTATTTAAAGTCATTATTAAATGATAAAATTAATAACTTTATATAATCCTTTTTTAATTTTTTTAAATTTAATTTTTTAATGATGTTTTTTTATAGATCCTTGTTATTATAAGAATTGCTACAATACAACTTATTGCAGTGTGGTGTCAGGTGTTGCTATGTGTTCATGTCCCATTGGATTCAAACTGCAGTCTGATAACACAACTTGTGTGCAAGGTATTTCCTAGTTAAGTTTTGTATAAAGTCAAATGTAATGGTAACAAAATTCACTTTGTTTAATGATATTATTACACAGACCCATGTTATTATAAGAGTTGCTACACTTCAAATTACTGCAGTATTGTGTCAGGTTATGCTATGTGCTCATGTCCAATAGGATTCAAACTGCAGTTTGATAACATAACATGTATACAAGGTATTTTCTAGCTTTTTTTTTTTTTTCAATATAGAATAGTTATATAAATAACTTTTTCAGACTTTTTATAATGATGTTTTTATATAGATCCATGTTATTATAAGAATTGCTACACCTCAAATTATTGCAGTGTGGTATCAGGTTTTGCTGTGTGTTTTTGTCCAAATGGATTCAATCTTCAGTCTGATAACATAACATGTGTAAAAGGTCTTTTATAGTTTATTATATTTTGTGTAATGTCAATACAAAATGGTTACGTAAACAATTTTGTTGTTGTATTATAAATCAATTGTGTACAAGTAATCACCTACTTATGAAAAATTGTTTTGGGTTTTGTTTGATTTCAGTTTTGTTAAAAATACAGAGAGAAATATTAATAGTAATAAAAGAATAAGTAATAAATAAGTAAATATAAATAAATTTTTTGTTTTGTAATTGCAATTTTTTATTTTGTAATTTTTAAATTGTGAGTATGTTTCAGTTTAATTTGTTTTATTTTTTGCTTTGTTTTAATTTTTTATTTTTTATTTATATGGTGGAAACAAATTTAATTTGTTAACAAATTGCAAGTAAAATATGTCTTAAAATAATCATAAACTAAGTGCACACAAATTAGATTGTTGTTCATTGATATAATTTATGTTCACTTATTCTATAATCGGTTTTATTTGTTTTATTCAATTTTTTTAATGAAATCTGTGTTAAAATCAAGTCTAAATAACAACATTGTTAAATTAATTTCCTTTCTGCTCAAAAACGTGACTTTTTTTTTATAATTATTATTTTGTAATTTTTAAAACTTCCATTTTTAAATCTGACAAGATTCCTTAGATCTCTCTATTCATTGTCTAATCTTTTTAATATTAGAAAAGTCATTAAACTAACCTCTAATAATCGAACAACTTACTTTCTGGTAGCTTAAATTTTCTGGTGTTTAATCTTATGGAATACATATAATATTAATTGTTAGGATTTGCAACCTGAAATCTACTTCATTTTTTACAATACAAAACTAAGATTCTGACCACACACTTACAGGCTTTTGAATGTTTTTGTATGTCAATTACTGGTCATAGGCATTACATAGGTACTCATTTAACACCTTGGAGTTTGTATAGTGGTGTTCAGACATTGAAAAGTCATATGCATCATAGACTTTATCTCATGTATTATAGACATTATCGTATGTGTTATAAATTTTATCTTTTGTGTTAAAGACTTTTAGATGGTTTAAAATCATTTAAAAAAAATTTATTTCAAAATATTGTATAAAAATAATGATTTCTGCTAATGTTTCGGAAATATGTTTTGTTATTTTTTAAGGTTATAACTTTCTCTAGCTCATTTATGTTAATGTTACTGACTTTTACTTTATCTACTTTATTTCAGACATTTTATTTTTATTTCAGATTTTTTTCAGATATTTTTATTTCAGATTTTCAGATATTGCAAGTTCTAACTATTTTTTTAACAATACTTTAAATTTATATGTACAATATGATTATATTATAAGTATACAATATACTTATTATATAATCACTTCAAAAACTTAGAAAATAGTTAAAAAAAAATTCTTTTTTTTTTCTTTTTTTTTTTTTGTATTACACAGCCTAATATCTTATACCTAATATCTTTGCTTTTCAAGTTTTATAATAAATAATTTCAATCAGTCATTTTAATACTGATATCAGTATTAAAATAACTATAAGATTAAATTAACTCTTGTTCATTTAGTCTCATTTTAACTAACTTGTGAACAAACAAAATTCTATATGAATGCTCATAAAAGCTGGAGCGCAAAACAGAAAAATAAGAGCTAAAAAAAAAAAGGTTTATGAATGAATAAAATATACTTATTATATGATATTGTAAATCCTACATTTCAAAGTTATTTTTATCATAGATTCTTAAAATGTTTGCAAAATTAAAAAAGATATCAGAATAAAAATTTAAAAGAAGATATCTATCATGATAGATACCCTTTTTATTGCTATTCTGCTATCTATTTTGTTGATTGAGAAAACTGCCTTATAATTAAAGCATGTGCATGAAGTAAATGCGAAAATAAAAAAAACTACTAAAAAATTGTATTTATTAATTTTATAATTAGAATATAATTTAGATTTAATTAATAATTTTAATTATTTATTAATCAAAAGTTTTTGCTTTGTATTTGTAGTATAAGTATAGCTTTTTTAAATGATTTTATTAAATCTTTAGCTTTAGGGCTAACCTGGTGCTTCAATGTTCAAGTTAAAGTATCAGATTAAATGATTTTATTAAATCTTTAGCTTTAGGGCTAATCTGGTGCTTCAATGTTCAAGTTAAAGTATCAGATTAAATGATTTTATTAAATCTTTAGCTTTAGGGCTAATCTGATGCTTCAATGTTCAAGTTAAAGTATCAGATTAAATGATTTTATTAAATCTTTAGCTTTAGGGCTAACCTGGTGCTTCAATGTTCAAGTTAAAGTATCAGATTAAATAATTTTATTAAATCTTTAGCTTTAGGGCTAATCTGATGCTTAAATGTTCAAGTTGAAGTATCAGATTAAATGATTTTATTAAATCTTTAGCTTTAGGGCTAATCTGATGCTTCAATGTTCAAGTTAAAGTATCAGATTAAATGATTTTATTAAATCTTTAGCTTTAGGGCTAATCTGATGCTTCAATGTTCAAGTTGAAGTATCAGATTAGCCCAAAAAAACAAAGTAAATAACAGGTAAAAAAAAGAAAGTTAGAAAAAAAAGAAACAACTTCGTTTTAAAAACTTTTAATTGCTTTCAAAATTTAAAAGATAAGTTACAAATTTTTCATTTCATTTATTTCATTTATCAATTAGCATTTGTAAATCAATATGCATTTATACATATTTAATAAGTTTGTTTATATTTATTTACGCTTTAATAAGTTTGTTTTTAGAGTTGAATGAATTTTATAAAAAATTAATAATTATTATAATTTTTTGTTATAGCTTCCTTGTTTTCAATCGAACTTTTTAACAGTAAGTTTATATATCACGATCAAAAGTTTGAAACATTTTTAAAATTTGAAATAAATTGTTTATTTGTTTACAGTTTTTTTTTTTTACATTTAAAACTTTGAGTAACAAAATCATATACTTGCGGATGTATGTTTTAAACCGCTAAATTTTTAGTCATAGATTGTTTGGTCGCTAAAATTTTATTCTGTTGTTATTGTTGTTACAGTTTGTTGTTATTCGAGCGAACGAGTAAAACATTTATTATAAAAAAAACTAATGAATTAACAACAACAAAAATGTGCTCCAATTGCTAGTTTATGTGAGCAAGGACTGACTGTTTAAACTTTTGAATTTTAAAAACATATAATGAAACTGGTGATTTGAAAACCAAAGATCAAACCAGACAACCAAAAGTGACAACTACTTCTAAGAACAGATAATTGCATTCATTGCTATGCGAATACATATTTGTTTGCTAGTGCTTCTGAAATTTTAACTGAAGTATTCTCCACCATCCTACCAAGTGTTGTTACAATTAGAAGACTTTTGCGCAAATGATTTCATTTAAAAAACCATGTTTCAGAAAAATAACCTAACCAAGTACTGGTTAGGTTAGTACTGGTCAAATCATTAATCAAACAATTTGGTTATCCTTATAGCCCCTAATACTTGCTTTTGACTGTAAAATATTAAAACATCTGCTTAAATGACTTTTTCAATCAAAGTTATTGTATTTTTATGATTCATTTGACTTTAAGTAAAGGCTTTTGATAAATTCTCCATTAATCTTAGACGATTATTGATGGACCCATTTTAGGGACAAAGTTGTCATCAAAATCACTTGATTCTAAAATCAGTTCTCTCTAAAATCAATCTGGGGATTTTCTCCATGATTAAATACCAGGTTCCTCTTGAATTAATAGTTTTGTATTTGACATTTTTGATTCAACTAAACAATAATATATAAAAATAAGAAATGCTGTATATTTTGTAAAAAAAAGTTATGCAGAACTAAATTAAAAAAAAAATTTATGTTAATTCTTAATACTCAAAGAGACTTTCAAGTCCTTTTCGCCGTTTAGGAAGATATTACATAATATATAAAATGTATTATGTAATATATATATATATATATATATATATATATATATATATATATATATATATATATATATATATATATATATATATATATATATATATATATATATATATATATATATATATATATATATATATTACATAGCAAAAAATCATCATCAAAGCAACAAAAATAGGTATTATGTTAATGTTAATTACAAGAAATATCAAACACAAAAAATAGGTATTATAATAGATATCAAAAAACAAAAAATTTCTAATGTCCAAGCATGTAAAAGTTTATTGATAAAAATCTTTTTGTTTAAAAAAATAATATTTCTTTCTGCATGTTCCAGCAGACTTATTGTAAATAAAAGTATAAGATGTATTTCTAAATTTCTTTAAAAAATTGCTCTAAAAAATTTCTTTCCTTTCAGTAAGCAAAGAGCTCTTTTTTCTCCCCTTTTGTTTAATTTTTGTTTAATTATACTTCTATTGTGAAAGAAGACAAAAAGGTGTTTTTTTTGGTGCTCTTCTTGGCAATACCAATTTTGCAGATAATGGCATTCTTATTATAGTTGAAATATGCAATGTTTACAAGCTCCTTTTACCCTTACCCAAAATAAAAAATTGACAGATTTTTTAAGATTTTTTTAAAATAAAAATTTCATGTGTAAGATATTTTATTTTATTTTTTAGGCAAAACAGCTGTTATCGTTATAGCAACACTAGGTGTTGTTTTATTTGTTTTTATTGTAATTTTTGCTGTTACTGTTGTTTTATTTAAAAAAAAAAAAAAATCTCAACTACCAATGGCCAACGCATTTCTTCAAACTATTGAGTAAGTATTATGAAATTATTTTGTGGTTTTTAAGTCAAAAAATGTTTGAATTTATCATGTACATACATACATAAGATAAAAATGTATTTTTGTTTTCCTTACTACTTATAAATGAATTGGTAAGTGCCAAAACCAATTCAGTGGTTATTTCACTCACAAATTCTAATTTTCAAAAATACTTTTAATTTTTCAGAAGAAACACAATATAACTCAAGAGAAACTCAGTCACTTACTCGTGTTATTCATGCAGTCAACAGTTAATAATATATGTTGTCATATGTTATAATGAAATAATAATATAAAATACAGTCAATAATTATGATATGATAGTTATGGTATAATAAAATTATAAATATAATGTTTATTAATAGTTTTTTAAAAAATAAAGTTAAATAAAATTGTTATTTAAAAGAAATGTATATTTAAAAAGTTTTACTTGTATTTCCTAAACCAATTTTATTTGATGAGCTTAGATTTCACAGTCATATCATTAAAAAATGATTTAAAAAATATTTGTTTTTTAATAATTTCTTTTTTTTTTTTTTTTTTGCAATCTTTATTTGATTTTACTTTTTTCAGTTCTAGAAGTTTTACATCTAGGTTTTACCCTTCTTAGACATAAGTGTGGGCACCAGCTTACAAGCATTTTCCCTTCTAAATAAACTAGAAATGTATAAAATAGAGTTTTTTGACTAGGACCAGAACATATTGTTTTATTGGTGGTTGCAAGGACTGGAATTGATAGGGCTTAGAAGATTGTTTGGAGAATACAATAAGTATTTGTTGGAATTGATGGTACACATTAAAGGAATACCCATGTCAAAACAAGTTGGGTTTATTGAAGAAAATGTTTTAAAAAAATGTTTGGGCTAAATTTTTTGATTAAAGCTAAATAATAAATGCGTAATAATATAATTAAAATTGGTGTTTTAGTTGAGGCTCATCTTCTCAATTTTTTAGTCTATTCTTAGAGTCTTTATAATATACGTTGCAATCTGCAGACTTAATAATTTATTTCATGTGCGTTTAATTGATAACAGTTTCAGTATATGATGTCATTGTAGATTTCTTTTAAGATATCATATTTTTTATTATTTTTTAATAAATTTTTTTTTTTAATAAGTATTTTTATAAGTATTTTTTCTTCTACAATCAGAAAATGAGTTTTTGTCACTTTATCTGCATTAAACAATTAAAAGTTTAAAATTAAACAGTTAATCAATTAATCCATGTAAAAGATATCGCTAAAAAAAGTTGTAATTAAGTAAAGAAGTTTTGAGTAGTTTTGCTAAAATGTTTAAAAACTAATAGAAAATGTTAAGTTAAAACTAAAAGCAGAAAACTAGAAAAACAATCAGGTCATTTAGTGAAAAAAAGGTTTAGAAAACTAGAAAAACAATCAGGTCATTTAGTGAAAAAAAGGTTTAGAAAACTAGAAAAACAATCAGGTCATTTAGTGAAAAAAAGGTTTAGTGAAAAAAAGGTTTAGTGAAAAAAGGTTTAGTGAAAAAAGGGTTAGTGAAAAAAAGGTTTAGTGAAAAAAAGGAAATTTTTTTCTGTAAAAGAGTAACTTTTAAAATAAAACTTGAAAACTTCAATAAAAAAAATAAATTTTATAAAATAAATTTGACATAATATATTATTATTTTTTTTTTTTTTTTGTTACTTTTTTTTTTTATAATTAAAATATACAAAAATCTTTTAGTTATCTTTTTATGGAATATATATATATATATTATGGAATATATACATCATCATATACGGCTTGTTGTTCTATTGAGTCTCTATCTCTTTTAAACAAAATCCTAAAGCACATTTTTAGGTCTTTTGAATCTGTTGCTAAGTTTGAGTCCTATTGTTGCATCTCTAATCTACAAATGCATCTCTATTCTACAAATGTTACCATAGTTGCTGTTAAAGAGAGTTGTTCCATCACTTGTTCCATTAACCAAATTTGCATGACTCAATAAAGTTGCATTTTTTTACTGCAACTGTTCATTGCAATTGTACTCCAAAAACCTTTATTTATCTAGTTTTTCCCTCACACATAATACAACAACTTTAAAATTTTTCGCCATGTTTTCCCAACCTATACAGTTTACAGATTTTTAAGTCTTCTGTCAACTGTTTCTTTTTGCTCAAAAAATATTTTTCTACTTTTTGTCTGTTAACATTAGGGCTTTGGAATTCTTTCCTGACTTCATGTTTTCCTGACACACAGTTTTAAGCTTTTAAGTTGACTCTTGATTGCTTTCTTGCTCTTTATATTTCTTTGTTTACTTTTTGTTTTCCAACTTATTAGTGATTGTTTCAGGCTTGTTGATAGTAAATTTGTTAAATAATAATTTCAATTACATCTTTTATTTAAATTGGTAAAAAAAAATGGAATAGGAATAAAAGATCTTGCTTTTACAGATTTCTTTTTATCTTTTCTTAAAGGAATTTCAGAAAACTTTATTTTTTTAAAAAATGTCCAAAGCAAAATGTCTAATTTGTGATTGTAGTTTTATTGTCCTTGGAAAACGACATCATCAACTTATGAAATCCGCAAAACAACTCAATTTTCATAATTTATTTAAAAGATGTAGATGTAGACAAAGAGTGTTTTGTGGAGTTGATCAGGTTAAATAAAATTATTTTATTGTTCACATTTGATTGGGTTTTTTTTTTTTTTTTTTTGCTCATATTTTTCATATGCAACCATATTGCAAAGATGTTTCAGTCAGTAAATGTATTATAAGGGGAGTTAGTGAAGAGTTAGTCAGGTTTTGGAATTTAATGTTGAGAGAGAGACAACTTTAATCAATTTTTTTGATAAATTTTACAATAATTAAAAAAGCAAGAACCCACTGCTAGATAATAAAAAGTGTATATATCTCTTTAGGGCTGTCAATTTTTAACTGCTTTTAGAGTGAATTAGGTTTTGAATTGGAGTGAATTGTGTTATATTATTGTACACATTTCATTTGGTTGTTATTTTTTGCTCATATTTTTTTTTATGTAACTTAGATTTTTTTAAAAATTGAGTTCCTAATTTAAATTGTTTACAACATTTTTCAGCCTCTTTTATATAGTCAAGTCAGTAACAGCCTTTATAAAAAAAGATTAAAAGTATGAAATGATAGAAACTTGTGTTTCTAACCTTTTAGTTTAGATAGTATTGAAGAATACACTTAAGATATGACTGGAATGCTGTTTGAAGTTGTAGAAGTGTTTAATTGAAATATGGATTTTAGTAACGAATTTTGTCACAAACTTAACACAAAGTTAACTATATGAGTGAGAGTTTAAGAAATTTATGTTGTGTTACACGGTTATATTATATACAAGGTTACAGTACCGCCTCCAGGATTTAATTCAGGGGGGTGCAGTAACATATTTTTCTTGTTAAAATTATAAAATATTGTTTTTGGGGGAAGGGTAAATATTATCATATATGCAAATAATTTAAATGCAATAGATTTAAAAAAATGTTAACTTAGTTTAAGGTGGTAGATCTCCTTTTATTTGACATTTTTCCAAAAAAAAAATTCTATTGATTCTTATGAAAAATTTACCAAGGAACTCAAATCTAATAAGTAAAATAATTGATTTTCTATTTTTTTACTATTCTCTTCCTTTACATTAAATCTAAGGCTTAGATATCTTTTTATTGAATCTCTCAGTGCTACTGCTAACTAACTCTCCTGCTACTAACTGCCTAAATACTTCTTGTTTAAACTTAAACATACATTTTCTTGTTTACAGTGCTTTTCAAAAAAAAAAAAGAACAATTAGCATTGATTTATGCTTGCTTGGCTGGCTGGCTCTATCTACATGTTTTTTTTTTTCTAAAAGTTCATTTATTTGTATAATAGTTATAAGCAGTCATTTATTTGAATTATAGTTATGAGCAGCCGTGGCGCAGTGGTACCGCACTTGCCTCAGAAACGTAAGATCCATGGTTCAAACTCCAAGTAATGCAACATAGGTTGGGAAGTAGGCGTGAACTTCCTATTAAATGTTCTTCCGCGTTGCTCTGTGATAAGACCACAAACACTTCTTGGGGCACCTAATAAAAAAAAATAATAATAATAAAGTTATGTAATATCACCTGTAAATCACAAGTAATTGATTTAATCAGTTATTAGTAAAAATGTCAAGGGAAATAAATCTTATTATTGAAAGTTTTTTTTTTTTCTTTTTTTTTTTTCTCTATTTCCTTTTTTTTTCAAAAGCTAGGGGGGTGCACATGTACCTACTAGCACCCCCCTGCCGGCGCCCATGCAAGGTTATATAATGATATGTTATATGTAAGGTTATCCATTTTAAAACTATCAAGGTCAGTGGTACTAAAGCCAAACCATTTAGTGTGATGAGCATAAATGTCACTAATAGTAACAATATTGGCTAAGAGGTAAAGAGAAAGAGTACGATCAATTAGGTCAGAAAATAAATGCATAAAAAAAGTGTGGTCTTGAAAAGAAGGAGAACAATAAATAGCAAAGAGAAAGGTGCTAAGCGGAAGCACATAAAAGTATGATCAAAAGGTTCCAACAGAGTTTTATGACCAACAAGTGATTTAATAAGTATGTGCTTAGGCTAAGTATGTGACTATTAGAATTTTTGTGAATAATAGTCTTATACACTATAGTATTCTATATACTCACTATAATAGGATGTCATCAACAGAGAAAGTCTGGTAATAGCATACCCTGGTGAGTTTTGCAAGAGTTAAGACTTGAAGAGTCAAGACCAATAAAAAGTTACTTAAAAGACTGTAAATATTCAAATAGCAAATTGATAGTGGACATGAGTTTTTATGTTTAATATTTTAAGTACTTGGTCATTCAAGGTTGTGTTCTAAATTGTTAGAAATTAGTAGACTCAATCATAAATTGTACAGGGCACCTCAAGCAATGAACTATGCTAAAAATATATTTTTTTGGCATAGCATATATAGAGTTATAACCAAAAAATATTTACAATAACGTTTTCTTCCTTTTTCATGGTAAAAGGTATTGAGGAATGATTGTTGTTGATTAATTCAAGAATAAAGATGCAAAAATGGTTTTCTGAAGGGAACGCTGTAAAAATGCCATCTGCATAACATTTGCAAAACACTGGTTTGACTCTATTATAAGATTTGACCTATTTTTCATCAAAATTACCCATAAACAAATTGACAATTACAACTGTGAAAGGAGAACCCATAGCAGCATAATCAGTTTGGTCATAATCTGTCTTTTAAAGTGAAAATACATTTGTGCTGTTGCAAAAGAATGAGTTTTTTTTTAATTACTTTTGTTGATTTTTATATTTATATTGTTTTTTATGATAACAGCATTATCTATTGTTTCTTTTTATAGAATGTTTTTGAATAAGCTTATGATATTGAAAGACACAAAAAAATTGTTTTTTGTATCTTTCACAAAAAGTGCCAATATTATATTATTTTATATTGTTTTTAATAGATATATTTTAGCTGATGATGACTAAATAGTCTAAACATATCTTGAAATAAAGTAATAAAATGTTTTGAATAAAGTTTAAAAATTTATATATATTAGTGTCTTATTTTTGTTCTTACTATATTTTTTAATTTAGATATAACAATCAAGTAACATCTCATGAAACAATAGCAGATGAATGGGAGATATATCCAGAATGCTTCCTAATTGATAAAAAAATTGGTGGTGGCGCATATAGTACTGTTTTCATGGTAAAAATAAATGCAAAGATTCTTTCTAAAACAAAACATGCAAATCGATCCATAGCTTCTCTACCTGCCCTCAATAAAAATTGTAGAAGTAATGTGGCAGTTAAATTTTTAAAAGGTGGTAATTAAATTTAATTGTTTTATATTTGTTAACTCAATTCTTTTTTCTTTGTCTTTTTTTTTGCCTAAGAAAGTATCTAGTTTTTTCTGTGCATATATACTTGTGTTTGTGTATTTACATTAATATATATATATATATATATATATATATATATATATATATATATATATATATATATATATATATATATATATATATATATATATATATATATATATATATATATATGCATCTTTTTCCTTTTAAATTCAATATAGCTGGTGCTAGTCAACTAGAAATCAATGATTTTAAGGAAGAAATAAATATCATGAAAAAAATTGGATATCACCATAATATATTGAATATGCTTGGTTGTTCTACTGTTAAAAAACCTTTATGCTTAGTAACAGAATACATGGAGAATGGTGATTTGTTGCAGTTTTTATGTGACAGACGTACTACAGTAAAATATTATTTTTATGCTGAAATATTTTTGTAAATGAATTAACTAAACAACTTTAAAACTTAATCTCTCAGTCAATACGCACATGCATTTATATCTACAAAAAAAAGTATATATATATATATATATATATATATATATATATATATATATATATATATATATATATATATATATATATATATATATATATATATATATATCCTTATAGTGTAGTCGAAAGAGACTTTTATAGTAAAAAAAGTCTCTTTCGACTACAATTTTTATTACATCGTCTCTTAAGCTGTATTTGATTGCCATCGATATGTCAAAGCAATTAAATTAATGCGGAGTTAAATTAAATTTTGTTGTTTTTTAAAAAAACCGCAATAATAATGACTAGAAAGTTTTTTTTAATTAGTGGTGTTTTTGTTTTATTAAAAAACATTTTTAAAACATGCGTAAGTGTTGCTACATCGACTATCTTATAGCCTGCTGCTACAAGGGAGTGTTGTACAACGACTATCTTATAGCCTGACTAGCAACGGAATGCTGCTACATCGACTGACAAATAGCCTGACTTGCAAGAGAGTGCTGCTTCATTGACTGACAAATAGCGTGACTCGCAAGGGAGTGCTGCTACATCGACTGACAAATAGCCTGACTCGCAAGGGAGTGCTGCTACATCGACTGAGAGTTTGGTTTTTCAATATTTTCTGGTCATGCTTATTAACGCTCCCTTTAAAACAACAGTTTGTGGGAAAAACTTTGTGACTACCATGCAAGACTATATATATATATATATATATATATATATATATATATATATATATATATATATATATATATATATATATATATATATATATATATATATATATATATATATATATAGATATATATATATATATATATATAGATAGATATAGATATATAGATATATAGATATAGATATAGATATAGATATATACAGGGATTATCTTTTTCCGGATATTTCCGGAATTCCGGATATTTTTTTCAACTTATAATTTTTCCGGATATCCAAGACATTTTCAATAAATGCAAGTTGAGGTATATATTTTTGTAATATATTTGTTTTTTAAGCTTTTTCACTCATCACTCATAAAGAAATTATGAAAAGTATTTAAAAAAATTAGCATCACTTAGCTAAAAGCGAAATTAAAAAGAAAATAAGGGAAACAAATTCCGGATTTTTTCCGGATATTTTATTCAAACAATTTTCCGGATATTTAAAATATGACTAGGATAACCTATGTATATACAGTATCGGGCAAAACAAGTGCAACCAAATAATGCTAATTTAATTTCTTTATATAGAAGTGCTGCATTTTTTCTATTTAGAGAAATAACTATGTAACTGTTTACAGGCATTGTTATGAGATTTTGATGCGTAACAGAACAGCGCAACCTAAATTAATGTAACTTTATTAAAAAAAGATATTTTCAACATTATAAGTTTAATTGCGTCAGTTGCGTATTTTAAAATACAAGAATGCGATTGTAATTCAATTCAAAAACACATTAGATATTATTGTAACTCTTTTAAATAAAATATCTTTAAATTAAACAATATTGTTATAAAAAAAAAGTTATAAATTAAATTTAAATCTTGATTAAAAAATATTTTCCTTGTTTTAAAATCTTATACTTATTTACAGTTTAAATTTTAAACTTAATTTTTTTCTTTAAAACATTCTTTCTACGGTTATTTTTTTAAAATTAGTGGACACTTGTTTATGGTTGATTTTCTTAAAGGGATTAAAGTATACTTCCACATACTCAGATTGGGTTTTGCTCTTTTTAAAAAACCTTTGCGTTTACTGGCTTTTGATTAAACTAAAAATGGTAAATAAACAAAGATTACCGCTTTTCGGCTTTGATTTTTTTTATTTCCATTAAAATATTTTATTTTTATGTACCGTGAAACCTAAAGTATTTTTACTATTTCTTACTAAATCAAAAAAGAAAAATAGTATTTTCGGTTTTATGATGTTATTAGCAGAACTTGATTTTAACAATTATCAATATAATTTTAAAATTTACGTATCTTATATCTATAGTACAAGTATTAGTTTTGTTTTTAAAACAAAATAAAAATAAGTTGGGCTTTTAAAGAGAATATTTATTGATTGTGTTATTTTTAATCTGTTTAAAGTTTGTTTCGTTTTATATAAAAAATTCTACTGCATAAGGGAAAACCCAAACAACATTTAAACTTGAGTTTGAAAGAACTTTTTTGTATGACGTCTGATGACATGAAACTTAAATGAAATTAAAATGAAGTTGTAAATGAATATGTAATGCAAACATTTTAAAGTTACTTGAATTAAATTTGTTAATTATTTTTTTTACTTTAACATAAGTTTTGGAAATTTTATCAGTAAAAAAATTGTAAAATGGAGCGTTTTTAAATTTTTAAAAGAATTTTTATTAAATTTCATCAATTAAATTACTAAAACTATAAATAATAATAAAATTATTTCAAATTTAATAAAATAAATTATAAATATTTTTTTAAAAAAAATTTAAACTATTTTCTTATATCTATTTAAAAAATATATTCCACAAATGTTTTTTTACAACAATTAATTACAGTTTAATGATTTCCACTTAATCTGTTTTAAATGACTGTTTAAAATAAACTTATTTAAAAAAGTTTTTGCGTACCGTAAATTGCGAAACGCATACATAAAATTGTAAATACATACGTAAAACTTAAATTGGGAAGAGCTTCTTAACAAGGGCTGTTTTTATAGACAACGTTCTTCAAGTTTTATTGATCACAAAGTTCATTATTTGTACACGAAAATTAATAAATTAATCAAAAGTATTTAAAAAAGTTGATTTCCCTTTGGACAAAACAAGTGCAACTCCACAAAATGTTGACCAAGCTGTATTTTGCAATCAATATTTCGTGGCAAATCCTTTGTTGTCAATCACAGCCTTGCATCTTCGAGGCATAGATATGATCAGGTAATCAATGAAACTTTGTGGAATTGCTGCCCAGGCCTTTTTGATTTGTTGAAACAGTTGATCCTTATTACGAACACCTTCATGATTTATTCTGTGGTTGACGATCTCCCACAGGTTCTCGATAAGGTTGAGATCCGGAGATTGAGGCGCCCAATCCATCACCGATAGGTGGTTGTCTTGAAACCACTGCTTGACTACTTTTGGATTGTGTTTCGGATCGTTGTCTTGCTGAAGAACGCATTTTATTGGCATACTCCATTCAGCATGAGGTAACTTAACATCTTTAAGAATTTTTTTATACATAAAACGGTCCATTATTCCATTGATTCGATGTATTAGACCTAGACCGTTAGCAGAAAAACACCCCCAGACCATTACATTGCCTCCACCATGCTTCACAGTCTTATGGCAGTATCGTATATTGAAGCGTTTTCTGGCTGGTCGACGTACATGGCAAATGCCATCACTCCCAATGATGTTGAACTTCGATTCATCACTGAACAGGACAGTTCGCCATTTCTTCACATTCCAGTCAATATGAGATGTAGCAAACAGGAGTCATTTCTTCTGGTTTTTTATTGAAATCAGTGGTTTCTTTGCAGGGTGTCGAGAAAATAATCCGGTTTCATCAGGACGCTATTTGAAGCCGGATTGTTTTCTCGATACCTGTCCGGTCCAATACAGGCAGCTCTAATTGATTTTGTACCTCGACTGATGATATCCAATGATCCTTCTTGATGGATCTAATGATCATAGAATCCTCTGTGGAACGCGGTGAGACCTTTGTTATCTGCTGCCAACTTCCCCGTAGAACGATATTTGGAACATAGTCTTGATACGGTCCATTTTTTCACACGAATATTTATCGCAAATACTTTTTTGTGACATTCCACTTTCTCGATACTTCTGGATGCTTCCAGATGCTTCTTCTGCAAACTTCTGGAAGCTTCTGCTTGCTTCTGAAAACTTCTGGAAACTTCTGGATACTTCCTTTAATTATTAAAAAACTTCCATGACGTTGATACGAACCAGACTTAAGAAAATGAAACAAACCAAAAAAGTAGCACTTGTTTTGTCCGCTGCAAAATGGCACTTGTCAACAAAATTCTGTCTGTGTACTATCACCTGTCAGCTAATTGCTCATGTCATGGCATGCTATGACTCCAGACTCTTGAACTGTTTGCTGTGGTAGTATAGTTCGTTTCGTTTTTAAGACATGTAAAATTAGGAACACTTTTTAGCATTGTTCGATGTTGGTCGCAAATGTTTTGTACAATACTGTATATATATATATCAAAGCAACTTTAGCAACTTTGTATATATATATATATATATATATATTTATATATTTATATATATATATATATATATATATATATATATATATATATATATATATATATATATATATATATATATATATATATATATATATATATATTTATATATATATATATATATATATATATATATATATATATATATATATATATATATATATATATATATATATATACACTTATTTACAGTAGGATTCAAAAGTTTAGAAACACCTACTTTTTTCAGTTTTTACTGCATAATTTTTCACAAACTTTCTTAAATAAGCTTAAATAAGAATTTTTACCAAATATATTAATTCAATTTAATAGGAATTTATCAAAATTTATTATTGTATATTTGTATAGCTATATTATTTCAATTTAAAATACAAAGCATAAAAGTTGTAAAGTTGAACGGTTAATTAACATTTAATTGTTTTTTTTAAAAAGCTTGCGTGCAAAAGTTTAGAAACAGTATCATACCCTGCAATTAAATCATATTTTTGTAAACAAAAGCAAAATTAAAGGCTAAAATTTTTGTGAAATTTAATAATTTAATTACTTTAGAGATATTTCAAAGGCAATGAAGTATAACTACTTGCTAAAATGTTTGTAAAATTTTATAATTCAATTACTTGAATAATATTATTGATATTTTAAAAGCATGGGAAAAGCTTAGGAAGTTTTAAAGGAAATAAAGAAACTAGT